ATATTATATACTAATTATATATATGTGTGTGTGTGTGTGTGTGTGTGTGTGTGTGTGTGTGTGTGTGTGTGTGCGCGTGTGTGTGTGTGTGCGTGCGTGTGTGTGTGTGAGTGTGTGTGCGTGCGTGCGTGCGTGCGTGCGTACGTGCGTGCGTGCGTGGGTGTATGATTTAATAGCATAATCATTTCCAAGAATAAATACTTGAATGTCGATTCTTCTTCTATTCAATTGCTACGTATAGATTTACGTTGTTTACGTATAGCTAGCCTACGTGGGCATATGTCACCGCGTGTGTCTGTCACCACATTCAGCCTACGTGCGCTGCGCTCGTCTGCTTGTTCCGACGTTGCTGATGACGCGCCCCGTAGCAACACGACACTGCTGCCCATTCAGGCAGCTCATCACCAGGCCGCTGCCGGTAGCCAGCCAGTCAGCAAGTAGAAAGACCGAGCGTTCGGGTTACGCGAGTCAACGCTGCTTGTTGATGCGCGCGCGCGTGTGTGTGTGTGGGTGAATGTTGCCGAAGGGCGCGCCGACGCCACATATTATAAGATGCGTGTCGATGGCGTGAATCGTGAAAGGTTTTCACTCTGAACGTGGAGTTTTACGACATACGCGGGACCGGGCAACGCGGGCCACGCGCCCCACAGTCGTGTACACGCTGTGTTCACGCGCGCGTCTAAACCCCAAGAATCTCATCAGCGAAACCAACCAAGTCGGACTACTGGTCGTCATCGATGCGTCGCGTTTATCGGAATCAGCAGGATATAATTATCACGCTGCGTATATACAGCGCGTGTAGGCAGACGACATGTCCGTATAGACAGCTCATGCGACAAGCTATGCTGCATATAACGTGAGCTGAAGAACGAGAGGCGACGCGTGTGTGAGAATATATATATGCTTATAAATTTATGAACGGCGTGCCATTATTTTTTCACGGTCATGTGGAGGATGTTCTTACTGCTTACGGTGATACATTTGGGTACGTATCTATTCTGACAGGTAATTTTAAATGTGTAGATTCGGTTGGTTACAATGCCAATGATACGTAGCTTGGTAGGTGTATATAGATGTTTAGCAGTGACGTATTAATTATCTATGGAAACTATAGAACTGTGTAAATATATTATACAATCTATTATATTCTTTCTGTGATGGATGTAGTACGTTTTAGCATGACTTAACATATGTATAAAGTGTATTTTATATAGATACTCATAGTATAGGATTGTATACGTTGTATAGACGCGGATAATGAGGTTCGTGCTTGTTTGTTCCGTATTGTCAGCCAGCATTTGCTTCCTGGCAATCACTACGAACACACGGTAATCTAATTACTGCTGGGTAAGTGTCACGGGTTTTGCGTAATAAATTTTACGAATTAAGTAAATTAGAAATATGTGAAATGGAGATCTGACCACTGCATTACGGAATTCAACGGGCTTGTTATTGGATGCTAATTAACTATAAATGTAACGAGGAGTTAAATTTATTAGCAAGCATTCATCGCTATATATTATATATATTATATATACATGTATATATACAGGTATATATATATATATATTCGTCGGATGTCTGCTTTTAAAATGACAAGCAATTTAACAACGCATGCACTGTCAAATTGCAGCTGCATTTTGCACGGGATTTAGATGAACGACTCTCGACGATTGATATAGTATCATTTCACGCGATTATATTGCATTATAATCGTGCGACGTGGCGCGCGAAAACGTCGACGCGAAAATTTCGCTTGCATGCCGGCAAACGTTGTTATGATCATTATAAACGAATGCGTGTCTTTGATGATCTCATCGCGAGTCACACGGAAACCTGCCGTGATGCGCGCACGCAGTCGCAGTATGACAGGTGTGTAGCTATGTAATTTTCTTAATGCTAGTCGGTGTGTTTTTTTACTGCTGGCGCGAGCAAAATCGAGCGGACGGGAGTTTGAATCAAAACGGTTTATTTTTTGCGATAACAGCCGCGTACAATTTTCGTAATTTTCGATATTCTGTTTAATTCTGTAATTCGCGTAATTTTCGTTGAAAATTATACGTCGTAGAAACAGCTAGTGCTGGTGCGTGAAGATTGTATAGAAGATTGGGTAAATGTTATTGCTATATATAGGGTTAAATTGCATTGTATTTATGTCGAAGAAAAAATGAGAAAGTCTGAAGGTACTTTGCCAGAATTTTTGGCCAAATGCCAAGATCTAGAGATTAGTCTGCGACGTCTCGCGGTTTAGTCTGTGACGTGTCCTGCGTCTGTGTTCCCTATCCTGGTACGCCTACTCTGTAAATCCATCCCTCATATTCGCTTGATTATTCGCTATGTTGGGTAGTTATAAATTTATTCATTGCAAACAAAACTTACGAAAATAGGATGTAAATATAACTACCGATGATCAACACACACAAAAGTACGCGACAAGCACACTTTTTTTTTTTTACATCGCAGGTCTTTAACGCAATTGAAAACCAAACCCCATTCACATTCTAGATGTATCGCATTGCAACGGCAGTAGCATCTCACAGTCTATATCGTACCTTGGCAACAGCCCGGACCTGTACACTGGAACACATGTATTGGACAATCGAGTCATAATGTGAGCCAACAGCGACAGATTTATATCACATCGACGCGTTTGTCAACAAAAACTGCGGTTTCGCGACGATGTCGCAAATACTCGGCGCGGCATATGACACGTCACTGTTATGTTTGTGTGTCGCTTAATGTTTGTGTGTCTCTCTGTTTAATTGCGCGGTTTGCGTCGAAGCGTAAATTGATTTGGCTCTGTGAAAAATCGTGAGCGAATCGAAGCTCGCAGCTGAGTTTTTTGGAAAGCCCACGCACTCAACGCCCTCGCATCTTACGCACGCACGCACGCACGCACGCACGCACGCACTCACACACGCACGCACGCACTCAAGCACGCATGCATGCACGCACTCACGCACGCACGCACGCACGAACTCATGCACCCACGCACGTACTCATGCACCCACGCACGTACGCAGACACGCAGTCATTTTACATTTCCCAGCTAGTCACGCAATATCGCCATTGGCTTTTATGTCAATAGATAATCGGTATGATAATATCCGTTGATTATTACGCCATCGATTTCTTCGCGCGTGCGTGCGTGCGTGTGCGTGCGTGCGTGCATATAGAGCAGGTCACCGTACTTGGCTTCAGCTGACGCCGACATGGAAATAAAGTCCGCACGACCGTCACAGTGGTAATTAAGCAGTACTATATGCGAGGATGCGGGATTCACTGCTTCCCTATGCGATGCTCCCATCCCCATTGTTGTCCACGCGATAGAAACCGCAGCGTCCCGTTACTAAGCTGTCGCGTTAGTCAATTAGATCGATGACAGGGGGCTGCAGCCGGATATGCGAGCCCAGACATTTTAATCCGCACTACGCGCGCGACAGTATTGATTGCATTGGCTCGGCGTGGAACGTCCTTGGCACATCCTGCCTGATGGTCTTAACATTTTTTTCCGTAGCGATAACGAGTGTTTTAAACCCGCAGTCACTTATCTACAAAGTATCGACGACAAAAACTCGTGTGTCGGGGCGAGGTGGCAGTAAATGTGCGGAGATTTCTCAAGAAAATTTGACGTGAAAGTGTATAGTGTTCACCGATCAAATTA